GAAGATTGGGGAAGGAATGGTTAGGTTGATAAAATCAAGAGCTCCAATTTGGACATGCTAAATCTAATCTGCCACCTAGGCCTCCAAGTGGAGATGTCTAATAAATAGTTGAATATATGAGTTGGAAACTCACAGGAGAGCTCTAACCTGGAAATATAAATTTGGGGATTATCAACATTGAAGTGGTGTTTGAAGTTTTGAAGACATTTTCTAGGTAAGGAGAATGGAGCCCTGAAATATCTCAACATTTAGAGAGGTCTTACAAAGGAAGAGTCTGCAAAGGAGCTTGGGAATGATCAGTGAGGTAGGAGGAAATTCAGGAGAGTGTGGGGTCACAAAAGGCAGGTTAGAAAAATGTTTCATTAAAGAGGGAGTGGATGTTGCTAAAAGGTAAAAAGAGGTGAGTATAGAGCAGTGTTTCTTGGGTTTGACAACATGGGGATCATTGGTATCCTTGGCAACGGTTGAGGAAGAGTGGTATGGACAGATTGGGGTGGATTGAAGAGTTAATAAACCAAACCAAAACCCATTGCTGTTAAGTGGATTCTGATTCATGGTGATCCCATGTGTTACAGAGTAGAACTGCTCTGTAGGGTTTTCTTGGCTGTAATCTTTATGGAAGCAGTTAGCCAGGAGCAGCTGGGTGGGTTCCAACCACCAACCTTTAGGATAGTGGGTGATCTCAAACTGTTTGAGCCACCCAAGAGTTAATAACCCCAAACCTGTTGCCGTCAAGTCCATTCTGACTCACAGTGACCCTATAGGACAGCATAGAACTGCCTCATAGAATTTCCAAGGAGCGGCTGGTGGATTTGAGCTGCTGAGCTTTCTGGTTGCCGAGTGCTTAACCACTATGCCACAAGGTTCCCAAGAGTTAATAGAAGTGAGAAAATGGAGACTGTAAGCGTCAATAACTTGTTTTAGAAATGTTGTTGCAAAGAGGAGCTAAGAAATGGATAGGATGAGATAAAGCGAAGGTTTTGTTTGTTTATTTTAAAGATGGTAATGATCCAGTAGAAGTCAAGTTATTGATGATGCAGGAAGGAAAAATCCTTGAAAAGGCATGAAGGATTGATCTATAGCACAAGTGGAGGGTTTGTCCTTTGATATGCATCTTTCATGGTATCAGGAAAGAAGACAGAGAAGATCAGTACAGACGCAAGTAGGCTTGTAGCTTTTCAGTTGGATGAGAATGCTCACCTCTGATGACTCGTATACTCTCAAAGAAATATGAGGAAAGGCCATCAGCTATGGTGGGATGAGGGGAGAAGGTGTAGGGGTTTGAAAAGAGAAAGCATGAAATAAATTATCCCTGGAAGTGGGAAAGTGAACTTACTAGGGAAATTCAGTAGGATCGCCAGGCAAAGTCTAATGCCTTTTTAAGGCTTGCGGTGAAGAATTTATAGTGACCACAGCTACCATGGCCTCCACCAGACTGAGTCCAGTACAGCTAGATGGTGCCCAGCTACCATCACTGACTACTCTGACCAGGATCACAATAGAGGGTCCTGGACAGAGCTGGAAAATGATGTAGAACAGAATTCTAACTCACAAGAAAAGACCAGATTTACTGGCCTGACAGACTGGAGAAACCCCAAGAGTATGGCCCTGGACACCCTTTTAGCTCAGTGGTGAAGCCCCTCCCAAAGTTCACTGTTCAGCTGGGGATTGGACAGCCTCATAAAACAAAACAGGACTAATGAGGCACAGCAGTCCAGGGACAAGGACTAGAAGGCAGGAGGGGACAGGAAAGCTGGTGATAGGGAAGCCAAGGTTGAGAAGGGACAGTGTTGACATGTCATGGGGTTGTTAACCATTGTCATAAGGCAATATGTGTACTAACTTTAACGAGAAACTATTTGTTCTGCAAACTTTCATCTAAGGTACAAAAAAAAAAAAAAAAAAAAGAATTAGCTATGTGAGATCAAATTGACAACAGCAACTCAAAAGGTTTGATGGGAAGCCTAGAGGACAGTGAGTTGAAGATAATGGTGATGGAATAATTTGGAAAAGGATAGTGAGAATAGCAGCACAACTGGAAGAATGCAATTGATGTCACTGAATTGTACATGTAGAAACTTTCAAAATGGTGTAACTTTGGCTATGTATATTTTCACCAGAAAAAAGGTCCTCAAGGTCGAGAAGGGAGAGGGTTGACACGTTGTGGGGTTGTTAACCAATGTCATAAAACAATATGTGTATTGACTGTTTAATGAGAAACTATTTGTTCTGTAAACCTTCATCTAAAGTACAATAAAAAAATTAAAAAAAAAAAAGAACTTATAGTGAAAGTCTCAGCCTTCTTTTTAAAAGGAGAATTGTTAGGTTCAACTAGAGTTGGAGTTTTACTGGGTGAGTATAATGGAGAAACAGAACAATAAATGATGTTTGTAAAAATGTCATGGTGGTATCAGAAGTCGTCTAATTTCAGGGGGACAGAGAAAAAATCAAGATCAGCATCAATTCAAAGCTGATTCCCATGAGGTGGAGTTAGACATACCTCCTGTCTCTAATCTTTTTACCAGTTCTGACACCAGCACTCTACTTCTCTGCTGGGTTTGGTAATTTGCTGCAATGGCCTCACAGAATTCACAGACCATATACACAGTTATGGTGTTTATTAAGGAAGTAACAGACTACAATTCAAGATCAGGATACAGTTCTTTGATCAGGATAACTTCTTCTCAGCTGCTGCCACCGAGCTCTGCATTCTCAGCCTGGTCCCTGCACTCTTGGCCTGGGCCTCTACTTGGGCCTGGCCTCTGCCTTGCTCAGGCAAGTCTTACAGCTTTTTAGCTCCACCAACAAGTGCCCAGAGGCACCCCACTCCACCAGCAAGCCTCCAGCCACTGGGCTCTCTTACTCCGTGTGTCAGGAAGCCCACCATGCCATCTTGCTCCTGTCTCCTCATTCTGCTGCCACTGTTTCTCTCCCACTGCTTCTCATCATCTCACGCTGTCTCCGGTGTTACAGCTCTTTCTCTGTCTCCTGGGTCTAGGAAGTTCTGAATGCAGGGACCTCAGGTCCAAAGATGCGTTTTGTTCCTGGCTCTTTTTCTTCATGGTAGTGTCGTTCCCTCTTCCTGCCTCTGGGATGGCTCATTTTAAGCCTGATGGGATGGCAAAACTGACCAATCCCCTCATTAGGGTTCCATGCACCTTATTTGCATTATTAGCAGGCTGTCCAATCCCTTTGGTGAGCCACAAGCACTTTATTTGTATAGTCTCACCTAATCATTTTGTGAGAGTCACAAGACCATGAATGGCTAGAGGGGCCATACAAAGTAATTCACTGCGTTGAAGTGTCTAAACTGGGCAAGATAAGTTACGAATATAACAATGTGAGGGATAGTAAAAATAAATTTAATGATTTGGAGGGTTGATAAGGTCAAAGAATCATGGGGTCAGTACAATAATTGAACCAAGAGGTGGTAATCAGTGAGTGGGATGCTTGAAACAGAAATTCAGAGGTGATGTAGTTACTGGCAATAACAAATACAGGGCTGACAGTTGGCAGGGAAGGGGGGAGATGGCTGATATGGAATGGAAGAAAAGATTGTTGGAGGTGAAGAGGTTGAGAAACTGACAGTGTTAAGTGAGTCATCCACATGGATGTTGAATAATGAACAGAAGTAGAGGTGGAAAGGAACACAATGAGCCATGAACTAATACTAATTGAGGGATGAATGATCCACCAAAAAGCCCACAGATGTCAGTGACCAGGAGGGGTATTACAATATGGCTAGTGGAATTCAAAGAAGCTGAGGATTTTGAAGGAAGAAGGATGCTATTGATTGATTCCAGATAGATATTTTAATATTGTAATTTTTAAGTACGGAGCATTGGTGGTTCAGTGGTAGAATTCTTGCCTTCCATGTGGGATACCTGAGTTCGATTCCCCGTAAGGCACCTCATTCACAGCCACCACTCTCAGTCAGTGTAGCTTGTGTGTTGCTATGATGCTGAACAGGTTTTAGCAGAGCTTCCAGAATAAGACAGACTAGGAAGAATGGCCTGGCAACTACTTCTAAAAATCAGCCAGTGAAAATCCTATGCATCACAATGGTTCAATCTGCAAGCGATCATGAGAGTGGACAGGTTCCCATGAATCAGGGACCTACTTGCTGGCAGCTAACAGCACAATAACACAACAATTTTTAAGGATCATAGTATGTTCATACCGTGTTGAGTGGTGGTGGAATTAATAAAAATGTTATATCCCTCCTGTGATTTATGTTTGTAAATTATTAGTCAATATGTGTAAATATATATTTTCTTAATCAAGGGCTCTTTCCTTTTTGTATGGAGTGCACCCACTTAAGCCTATTGCGAAGAAACAAACCTGTATGCCTATAAGTTCCAAAATGGAAATGGTAAGATTTGTGTGTGTTTGAAATCGGTATTTTATTTTTCTAATTTCATTAGCCCAGGACAAGGTAGAGTAGACGGTACGCACTCAATTTATGCTTTATTTATGAACCGAAGTGAAAAAAATAAGTATGGATACCAAGAATATGCGGGTCGTGAGAACATCTGTTCTTTCTGAGCAAGGATAACCAGCTCGTCGATTTCCGTAAATATTTACAGCCTTGGAAACCCTATGGGGCAATTCTACTCTGTCCTGTAGGATAGCTAGGAGTCGGAATCGACTCCAAGGCAATGGGATTGGTTTTGGGAACACCTCTCCCTGGAGCTGATAGAGCCCGGGCTATTTGCTTTCACAGGAAAATTGGTCCGGCCGTATCCATTCAAATTTATCCCAGCAAATCACAGTGGTCTATAGCCAACTCCTTTCCCGCTCATTGGCCAAATGGAAACCTCAGCCACTTCATTCCTCCCACCCCTCGGCGGGAGCCAATAGAAAGGATTAGAGGTTCGTAACATTGTGTCATCGAGAATAGTACTTGCTATTGGCTGTTGGAGCTATCGATCGGGGACGGGGCGGGGGCCACGTCAGCTGGACTATATAAGAGGAGGACAAAGGCGGCGCGCTGTCTGTGTCATCCGCCATTTTGAGCGAAGCAAAGTGGCCTTCACGTTCCCTGAGCGTCTTCTTCGCTTTTGCCTCGACCGCCCCTTGATCACAGACATGTCTCGGGATCGGTTCCGGAGTCGCGGCGGTGGCGGAGGCGGCTTTCACCGGCGCGGAGGAGGCGGTGGCCGCGGCGGGCTCCACGACTTCCGCTCCCCGCCGCCCGGCATGGGCCTTACTCAGAACCGCGGGCCCATGGGGCCTGGCCCGGGCCAGGGTGGCCCAAAGCCCCCGATCCCACCACCGCCTCCCCACCAAGTACAGCAGCAGCAACAGCAACAGCAGCAGGTACCGTCGCAGCAGCCTCCGCCACAGCAGCAGCCACCGCCACCGCCGCATCAGCAGCCGCCACCGCCGCATCAGCAGTCACATCAACAACCACATCAGCAGCCGCCGCCGCCACAGGACTCGTCTAAGCCTGTCGTTCCTCAGGGACCCGGCCCGGCTCCTGGAGTAGGCAACGTTCCGCCGGCCCCTGGCTCCGCTCCTCCTGCCACTCCGCCGACCTCTGGGGCCCCTACAGGGCCAGGTCCCACCCCGACTCCACCGCCAGCGGTCACTACGGCCCCGCCCGGTGCGCCTCCACCCACGCCGCCGAGCAGTGGGGTGCCGACCACTCCCCCTCAGACCGGAGGCCCGCCGCCTCCACCCGCAGGGGTCCCGGGCCCGGGGCCTAAGCAGGGCCCAGGACCTGGCGGCCCTAAAGGGGGCAAAATGCCAGGCGGGCCGAAGCCCGGCGGTGGCCCTGGCCTAAGCACTCCTGGCGGCCACCCCAAGCCGCCGCATCGCGGTGGCGGGGAGCCCCGCGGGGGTCGGCAACACCACCTTCCCTACCACCAGCAGCATCACCAGGGGCCCCCGCCCGGCGGACCAGGCGGCCGCAGTGAGGAGAAGATTTCCGATTCGGAGGTGAGTGTCTCCTGCAGCAACGTGTCGGTTTCCTTAAGATGGCGGCGGCCCCCTCCTCTTTCCCCTCCCCCTTCCTTGGACTCCATTTTGTCGGAGATCGGAAAGGGCGCCTGCGTGGGTCGTCGGCAGAGGGCGGGGCCGGGCCCGCGGCACCTTGGGGGCGGGCAGCGTCCGCTACTCGGGCCCGGGATTGGCCGCCAGCGCCGCCATTTTATTGGTCTAGGAGCTGGAGGATGATGAAGGAGGGTGGTTTTCGGAAGGAGATGATGAGAGCTTGTGGTGGGCTCGGTTAGAGCTAGGCGATCCTAGGAACTGAGTTAGTGCAGAGCCTGAAACGAAGGGTTGGAGAGATCGGGAGATTTCTGGTCTTCGCAGTGCAGGTGTAAGTCATGTCAGTGATTACGGGATTTTGCTCATTTGTTTTTTTCATTTAATACTTGGCTACCACTTAATTTTGGTCTTCTACGATTTAGATTTGTCAGGGACAGCCGTGGCATATGCGGAGTCATAATGTGGTTTATACTATCTACTCTTCGGAGAGGGGCTGTATGTGTGTCTATTCTCGAGAATGATTTGGGCTTCCGCTTTGATGCTGGGATAATGATTACTTTGGAAGTCTAGCAAATACAGAAAAACTTTGATTTTTAGTTTAAACAAGACAAAAAAAACCCTGGCTGATAACATATTCACATTGGCAAGACTGAAGTTATTACTCGATTTTCATAGTTGGAGAGGTCACTGATGTCTGAAAAGTCCCTTCCTTTTACTTTAGGGGTTTAAAGCCAACTTGTCTCTCTTGAGGAGGCCGGGAGAGAAAACTTACACACAGCGCTGCCGGCTGTTTGTTGGGAATCTACCTGCTGATATCACAGAAGATGAATTCAAAAGACTATTTGCTAAATATGGAGAACCAGGAGAAGTTTTTATTAACAAAGGCAAAGGATTTGGATTCATTAAACTTGTGAGTGTAACTGATGTTATGTAGAAGTAAGAGTTTTTGTGGCTGCTACAAACATACTGAAGACTTGGTTTTACCCTTGATTTTAGCTAGAAGTATGAAGGCTTGTGTTTTAAACCAGAAAGAATAAATTGATCTTGAAAATTTTTCTCATTTCTAGAGAAAAGATGCAGCTGCTGCTGTTGTTAGGTGCCTTAAAGTTGGTTCCGACTCATAGCGACCCTATAGGACAGAGTAGAACCGCACGTAGGGTTTCCAAGGAGTGGCTGATGAATTTGAACTGCCAACCTTTTGATTAGCAGCTGAGCTTCTGCCACCAGGTCTCCAGCTGCTGTGTACGGCATAATTGTTGGTACCTAGCCATGAATTGGAATCAACTCGATGGTAACAAGAAGAAATAAGTGAGGTGGGTGGGTGGGTGAGGCATTTAATCATCTACCCTGAGTGGTCTGGAGAGTCTTGGGGAAAATAATGCTTGAACCGAGCTGGAGAAGAAATAGGAGTAGGAGTTAGGCTTATGACAATTTCAGAGTGAGATTAGCCGATTTCGAGGTCATTAACCTGAGTGTGTTTGATATTTTCAGGAATCTAGAGCTTTGGCTGAAATAGCCAAAGCTGAACTTGATGATACACCTATGAGAGGTAGACAGCTTCGGGTTCGCTTTGCCACACATGCTGCTGCCCTTTCAGTTCGTAATCTTTCACCTTATGTTTCCAATGAACTGTTGGAAGAAGCCTTTAGCCAGTTTGGTCCTATTGAAAGGGCTGTTGTAATTGTGGATGATCGTGGAAGATCTACAGGGAAAGGCATTGTTGAATTTGCTTCTAAGCCAGCAGCAAGAAAAGCTTTTGAAAGATGCAGTGAAGGTGTTTTCTTACTGACAACGTAAGTTGTCTTGTGCTTATTTTAATAATTTCTATTTGTTAACTTGTATGAGAAAGTTGCGGTAAAACTGGAACCATTTTTGTTATTATTAGCACTCCTCGTCCAGTCATTGTGGAACCACTTGAACAATTAGATGATGAGGATGGTCTTCCTGAAAAACTTGCACAGAAGAACCCAATGTATCAAAAGTAAGATTGATTAAACTTTTTACCGGTCTTTATTTTAAGTGTAAATAAGTTTGTTCTAATAAGTTTTCAGTTTTGCTTAGCATATGCAAAATTCTTTGAGGTAAGTATACTTCTTAATAAAAACCGTAGGCTCAGAAAGTTAAGTGCCTTTGAAGCTGTCATTGAAATGCTATGATTTGTTTCAGTGGTATATATTCACATGCAGTCCTGTTTAGTCCTTACAACAGTTGTATGAAATGTAGGTATTCTCATTTTTTATGGGTGAAAAAAATAAGCCTTGTTGTAAGGAATTTGGCTAGAGGAAAACAAGCTAGGATTTATCTCTTGTGCCCATGTTCTCTGCTACTAAAGCATTCTGGGACACGTTTTTGCTGTGGAGATAACTGTATGTGAACCAAGGTTGTCTTTGCCTTTTGGTACTCATTACAAGTGATACGCCAGTAAAACCAAACTAGATCTGTTGTTGAGTCTATTCTTACTCATAGCGACACTATAGGACAGAGTAGAACTGCCCTATAGGGTTTCTAAGGCCATAAGTCTTTACAGAAGCAGACTGCTGCATCTTTCCCCTGCGGAGGCCAGTAAAGGACCAGTGTATTTGGGGGAATCAGGTAGTGTTTCTTATGTGCATCTATAAATTATTTCATGTTTAAAATTTGTGTGATGTCAGGGAGAGAGAAACGCCTCCTCGTTTTGCCCAGCATGGCACATTTGAGTATGAATATTCCCAGCGCTGGAAGTCCTTGGATGAAATGGAAAAACAGCAGAGGGAACAAGTTGAAAAAAACATGAAAGATGCAAAGGACAAATTGGAAAGTGAAATGGAAGATGCCTATCACGAGCATCAGGCAAATCTTTTGCGCCAAGGTAATAAGATTCTCTGAATTCAGCTATAGTATCAACTGCTTTTTGAACTCCTTAGAATTTCATTAACATGAATCCAAAACAATATTTTCTAATACCCAGATCTGATGAGACGTCAGGAAGAATTACGACGCATGGAGGAGCTTCATAATCAAGAAATGCAGAAACGCAAAGAAATGCAGTTGAGGTGAAATTTTCTTAAATTAAGGCTTTGCTTCTGCACTAGCGTTTATATTCTGGATATTAAAACAGTGTAGTCAGTTTTGCAGGTGAAGTTCAGAGATTAACTTTATCAATGTTGGTTTAACTTTTAAAATTGAATACAGTAAAAAATTTTCGTTGATAAAGCCTTTTTTCTTTGTCGGAAGCTGCTAGTGCTATGCCCCTAGACTCACTTTCTAGAGGCCTTTGTATTTCTTTGCTTTTTCGCTTGCTAAAGTTCTTAGCTATCCTATTAGCATAATCAAGTTGAATTTTAAAAAATGTGGGTAACATTTTGGTTTATCTGATTGATGAATGTTTTCAGGCAAGAGGAAGAACGACGTAGAAGGGAGGAAGAGATGATGATTCGTCAACGTGAGATGGAAGAACAAATGAGACGCCAAAGAGAGGAAAGTTACAGCCGGATGGGCTACATGGATCCAGTAAGTTGTCTAATTGGAGTTGTCTACAGAACTTGTAAGGAGCGCTGGTGGCACAGTGGTTAAGTGCTCAACTGCTAACTGAAAGGTCAGCGGTTCAGATCCACCAGTGGACTCCACTTGTAAAGATTACAGCCTAGAAAACCTTACCGGGCAGTTCTACTTTGTCATATAGGGTTGCTATGAGTCGAAATCAACTCAGCAGCACACAGCAACACAGAACTTGTAGGTACATTTCACGTTTTAGCCTTTTTTTCCCCTTTAACATAAATGTATTATGTTTGCTTTGCCCTGAGTTTTATCTTTTCACCTTGGATGAGCTAAAAGATTTCAGTGGGTTAGGAAAAGGCTTTGGGGATATTGGTCTAAAAAATACTTCAGGCAGTGAAAATTAAATTGCCTTATGAACTTAACTGTGGGATTTTTTTTTTTGGTGAATTTCTCTGTACTCAAGAATAGTTGATGTGGGTGTAGTGCAGATGTATGAAAGAGATTTTTTTCTTTCAGAGAGAAAGAGACATGAGAATGGGTGGTGGAGGAGCAATGAACATGGGAGGTAAGTATGAACATTGAATTAGCAATATTATTAGATAGCAGTATTTTGGGTGAATTTTAACCACCATTTTTATTTCTTAGATCCCTATGGTTCAGGAGGCCAGAAATTTCCACCTCTAGGTGGTGGTGGTGGCATAGGTTATGAAGCCAACCCTGGAGTTCCACCAGCAACCATGAGTGGTTCCATGATGGGAAGCGACATGGTAATGTATCCTGTGGGACGTAGTGCAAAGGAAGTTTCTCGTTTTCATGCCTTACGTGTGTGTTTTTTTTTTTTTTTTAAGTAGGTGACTGGACTTCTTTTAGTTCCCCTCTCATATGTAAATCATAATGTTGAGGAATATCTTGGCAACGTAGAATTCCGTGTGTGGTAACCTAAACAGATAATGGTTGCCAATGAAGAGTTAATGCTGTTTAGTATGTGAAGTTAACTTTGGCAATAAGTAGATATAAGTGCTTTCCATTATGCATTTCTGAACTATAGTGCTTAGTGCATGGCAAATCCACATTCTAAAATGTATTGGATTATTCTACATCTGAGTAAGAGTAATCAAATGGCAATGTGTCATTCTTTAAGCTGGTGTTTGCCATAAGTATGAGTCAGATTTGTAGTTTGTAGCTTTAGGCATGTTTTAGTGATGTGTAGGTCTTTGACCTATATTTGGTGTGGCTTCCATCCCATGAAAAGGGAATTGTTTAGTGTTTTGACTCGTCGTTTCCCACCTGTTGGGCCTGTCTATAGGTACACCTTTTGATACAAACTGACATCTCTATTTTGCTCCAGGGTAGCAAAAATCAATTTTAAGCATACTATTTGTATGCAATTGATCTGCTCTCTCTTGATGCTATCGTGTTTTAGCTGTACAGATAGCCTGTCAGGATGCTTCAGAACAATCAAGTGGATTGGTCTGAGTGGCTGCATTAGGGTTTTACAAATCCTTATTAGGACTTAAATTTTTATTTTAGTATGGGTTTAGAGTACATTTTCACAACTGAATTGAATCTGATTTAGTGCACCTAAAAGCTGTTAGCAAAGAAGGGGAGCTTCTATGTGTGTCTCACTAGATTCATTTAAAAATAGGAACATTAGGATTTAGTATGGGGTCTTAACTAATTAAAATGTACTTTAAGGCTTTGAGAATTAAAGTTTAGAATCTTAAAATAGCTGGTTGGGTTAAATGTAATACTATTAGTTTTATTTAAATTGAACGTTAAAAATATGTGGGTAACATATGCTTCCTAAAAGGTAGAATTTACGTACATATCAAACAAAATCTGATTTGACATGTTGCCGTGGTTAAGGTTCTGTGTTCCATGTTTACAAGTAGCTCCTGAGTTCTAAGCTATAGTAATAACATAATTAGTCATGAAACTCCCAGATTTGACCCTTTTTAGCTTTTGGAGCATAATGCACTGAAATCCCAAATTTTTTCTTAAATGTTTTGAAAAAATAGTTTAAAGAATTGAGGCTTATCAGTCTTTTTAAGTAGTCCTGTAGTATTTTGTAGAAAACATGTTGAAATTACGTATAGGAACAGTTAAACCCTGATCTGGTTTTACTTTTGCCGAGTAATGCTTTCAGTGAGTAGTCTATTTTAAGTGGAATTTGAAAGACAGTTTAGGCATCTGTGCATTACCTGTAGGGTTTTTCTGTTTGAGTACATACGTGTCTATTTAAGTGTAGGATTAACCTAAAGCTAAATGGAATAATGAAGTTACTGCTTTACTGCAGTCACATAAACTTGGTGTTATGCTGTTTGGGAGCTAATCCAAAACATGGGATCGTAGCAGAGTGACAGTGGACTTTTCAAAGACCAAAGGGAAAAGTTGGACTTTTATGAGGGTGGGCTGTATGTTCAGTCATTTTGCTACAGTACAAAACAGTACTGTGGGTCATATTGTCTATGGCTGTGTAGTGATGGCTCTGAAGGTGGTATACCTGTGAGAATATGGCAACAAGTTTTTTGATCAAGTTACTGTGCCGGTTAAGTGACTAAATCTGTTAGTCTTTTATGTTTTTTCTTTTTGTAGTCCGGTAGCATTTTATTAAAACTTTCAACCTTTTAGTATTTCTGCAACTTAGCAGATGTGTCTTAAGATCTTGAAAATCACAAGGTTTCTTATGCAGCACATGCCACTAACTGGTGAGTAGGTCTTTGTCACTTCATTGAGTGAATTGAATTTGTCTGGTTGGGCTTGTTAGGCTTACTTGGAAATTAAATTTTCTGTTCAGACCTTAAAGTGAGTTTGCAAGCTTTTCAGTGAGTTAATCTGATGTGAAATTTCTTAGAACTCATTTTGGAATGGGTTTTCACATCTGCACTAATTCTTAAATTTTTTAGCACTACAGGGAAGATCTATTTTTTGAAACAGGTGTATGAGAATGGCTCAAGTGGGAACATACCACAAGGCATGTATTACCGTAAACTAATTTTCAAATTACCCTTTTTTCCTTTCTATGTTCCCGGTACCTGTGGATCGACTCATTGGTGATTGTATCGACGAACGTTGACTACGGAACCTTCTAAAATATTTACTTAACACACATGGACATCAACTACATATAATGAACTGTTAATTACTGTTCCAATAGCGTACTGAGCGCTTTGGGCAGGGAGGTGCGGGGCCTGTGGGTGGACAGGGTCCTAGAGGAATGGGGCCTGGAACTCCAGCAGGATATGGTAGAGGGAGAGAAGAGTACGAAGGCCCAAACAAAAAACCCCGATTTTAGATGTGATATATAGGCTTTCATTCCAGTTTGTTTTGTCTTTTCTTGTTTAGATATCAACCTTTTAAATTCTTGCATTTTAGTAAGAAAGCTATCTTTTTATGGATGTTAGCAGTTTATTGACCTAATATTTGTAAATGGTCTGTTTAGGCAGGTAAAATTATGTAATGCAGTGTTTGAAACAGGAGAGATTTTTTTTCCTTTTTTTTTTTTTTTTTAAACTGTATAATGACCCTAAAGTTACGGCAGTGTACCTTGTGCCACTGAATTTCCAAAGTGTACCAATTTTTTTTTTACTGTGCTTCAAATAAATAGAAAAAATAGTTATAATACTGATCTTCAGCTTTGCCATTCATGCTTCTGTGCACATTAGGCTAGGTATTCCACTTTGAAAGCATGAGAGTGTCTAGGCCTTTGAATGGTGTATGCCATTTCTGGGAAATTTATTTGGAGGCTAAGTATTGCTTTCTGCAAATAACTGTCCCCTCGTTTTAAAAAAGAATGCATTTTGAAGCAGTTTCATGATTTGATTTGTTTGGCATTATAAGAAGCAAGCTGGTGCTAAGTATTTTTAAATGGTTAAATGGTCTGAACTGTAAATCTTCATTCAGGAATGTGTATTAAGATTATGGAATGGGTGTCAAAACCATTGGTAGGGGAAGAAGAGAGGGTTTGGCTAACTGGATCTTTTATGGCCCTATAATATCATTTCTTTGAAAGTTTTTGAAGAAAAAGTGGAAAGATCATTCTGTTGCATTCCCCCCATTCTTGTCTTTAAAAGAACAAATCCCAAGCCCTACAAATGGCTTGTATTGAACTTTTACATTCGAATTAAAGATTATTAAACATGAATCCTTTTCATGTATTACTTTAAGTGATTTATAAAGATGGGGTTTAGTCTGAAAAAGTCAGCTTGAAAGTAAGGAAGGTTTAGTAACCATAAAGCAGGGCTAGCAATACATTTGTACTCTGTAACTTTTACATCTCCTTGTGCTACTTCTGTTGAGCAAAAGCTGTAGGAGTATAAAAATCTATTGGTTCTCTTTCTAAGAGTTAGTGGTGACTGGAAATAATAGGTTTGCAGATAACCAATCTTACTGTAAATTTGTTGATCTGTTTTTTATAGTTTCCATTTGATGTAGCACTAAATCTGGAGACAGTTGCTCATGCTACACAGTACAAATAGCCCTTTTCCCCCCACCATAAAGCTCTTGGAGTGTTTCAGTGGTGTTGTCAGTTTGTCAACTTCATTGAATCTCCTTCCACTGGAACAAGACATTTTGACTTACTATTAAATTAGATGGTTTACTGTTGTTTGTTAGTACAATGGGAGTCTGAATTCCCAGTGTAAATGTTAGTGGAGAAATGATTTGCTAATAATAGGTAAAGTAATGAATGAATGGTTTGGCTTTGTTCTTAGTTATGTTTCCATTCAAATTTGTACATTTCAGAACTCCTATGGAATTCGTCTTCTTCTTTTTCACCTCTGTTCTTGGTGCTAATTGGCAAAAGTAAAATTCTAAATCAAACCTTTGTTAAAATGCTGAAGTTTAGTGATGTGCCTGAGTACAAAAGGAAACCTTTTGTTGAAACAATTGAGCACTTTGTGAATAGGAAATAGGATAATACTAAAAGTAAAACATCGGTGGAGTATAAAGGCATGTCACCAAATTCTGGTTGTGACTGATGGTACATGGTGTGCTAACTGAGGGAAAGAATCTCATTTCTGTTCACCAAGACACTTGGAAATGGGTAGTTCTACCATAACTATGTCAGTGAGTAGAAAGTTTTGTCCCAAGTCATTAATTGGTAATACGCATGAGCTTTTTCTGACAGAAAAAAGGGTCTTGATTTGAAAGGACTCCGTTATAATTTGGGTGCATTGTATAGTAGGGACTTTACTAATGACAAAATGTAAGAGGTGTTCATGGGACACCTACAGAGGGTGAACTTGAATGTGTGTGGGTGGGGGCTGGTGGGGAAGCGGGAAAATCTGCCTATAAAATTAATGTTTCAGTTTATTTTTCAGATTACATGCCTTTCTTTATAAGGGATGCTGGCACAGACCCCTAAAATAAGCTTTTGGTAGTACTGTACCTTTGAAGAGTGGTGAAGGATGCTAATGGATAATCTCCTGAAGTTGTGGCTTTTGATACCCTTACTGTGGGCTGTAGAATTGCTAAACGTTGTTTAGCAAATAATGTTGCTTAGTTTCAACTGATATTTGACTTTCATCACTGAAACAGCAGTGTATCTACCAAGGGTTATAAGCTATTCAGACTTTCAACAAGTCTTGTAATGTGTATGATAGTTTTCAGCCTAATGTGAGTTTAAATCATCTTAAAAAGTAGTTTCCTAAAAGCTGACAATGCAACTTGGGGTGGGAAAGGGAAAATAGTAGTTTTGAAGTATTTTAACATTTTTTCTCGTTTAAAGAAACCACCTGCCCCCATTTCCCCTTCTCTACTTTCTCTCATAATTTTAAGAGGAACCCTGGTCGTTTTTAAACTTACTCTTCCCAATCTCTAAAAACTGCCTTCTCTAAGACCCCAGTATGTTTAATAGGTATCTGATAAGCTTAACCCATTGGCTCACATTATTTAGAGAAACTGTAGTCTTCTTTGCTTAGAACATTAATTAAACTCATAAGAAGCACTATAAACTCTACCACTCTGTATAGTTATAGCACTAATACATAAATTACAATTTGGGAAATTGTAATGTTACGCCTGTGCAATTTTTTATAAGTGGCATATTATGGCAGATAAAAATTGAGATACTTGGCTTCTCTTGGGCAAGCCACTAAGTTGTGGCGGAATGCTTTCTGGTGTTCTTGGACTGCGATTATGCACTATTAAAGTAGTGGCCTGCTACATAACTGCGTTTAGCCAGCATTTCTGCAGTGCGTAACTGTGAGGAACGTAGTACCGCAAATGGCAATGGACATTAGGACCCGGATGTAGTATTCCTGCTTGCTCCAAGATTCTCATTGCCGACTGCATACAGGTAGGTAACAAGCAATATAATCTAACTTGGTGACTTGCTATGTACTTTTATTCCGTGGGCATTCTGACATCACACTTCTGACGATGAAATTACAGTGCAGCACCTAACACTTGTATGGTAAAGCTAGTTTATATCCAAAAACTGTGTGGGTTTGGGGTTAGAGCTGTAATTTGTCAGGCAGAATTCAGTGCTGTTGCAGTTCTTAGATAAAAAGTGCAAATGATTCTTTGGTGTCTCTGACTCAGTTGTGTGGTTTTCTTTAGTTGCTCTGTAACTGAAGATAACATGGAACACATCAGCGGTGTGGGGGAGAGGGAACCAAACCATACTTCGGAAGTAGAGTGCCTTTAGCATCTTGACATGGACTTTATATAAAGCATGTGATAATTAGACTTGGTTGTAGCAAACTGACCTGCTCGTAGGTCAGCACTGTTAGTCATTTCAATGTGCAATCTTGGTAATTATTCGGCAGGTTGAGTGAATTAAGACTAAAGGACAGTTTTTTGTAATATGATTTTAAAATTTTTAAAAATGGGCTCCCTGGGAATACTTTCATTACTAACTTGGGCTTAGATGGGAAGCTAATATGAATAGTTCAAGTTACGTGACTTGTCTAAATGTATCTGTACTCTAAACCTGGGGGAAAGTGGTGTGGCATATTGACTTGCCTGCAGTTGAATACATGTTGGGAATCGTTTCCCAATGGAAGACTTCGTCGTATTCTGTAGAATGATGGGCAAATGTTCAGAGTAGTTTTTTTAATTTGATTCCCTTAACTTTAGGGATGTGATGTCACAATCCAAATGCTTAATTACAAGAAAACATGAGTCTTCAAAAGCACTTCTTTTGTTGGTTAGGAAGTATGGACTTAATTAACCTTTGCATCGACTCTTGTTCCAGACCTCAATTCAACTTACTTTGGTCTCTGAACTGGTTCTTGGCTAGCATGCATGAGAAACAGCTTTCATGTGCACTACTTTCTGCTCTGTAACTGGAAAGTTTGATTTACTTTGCATAAATGCTGGCGAAAACTCTTCATGACTGAGAATTTTCTTCCATTGTATGAAGAAAAATAGCTTGCTCTTTGGCAAGCAATTCACAAAGGTGGGGGCAGATTTGTACTTTAACGTATATACAGGTTATTAAAGCAAACTTCTGACTCCTAATCGAAGATCAAATGATGATTAGCTTAGCTCTTTCTATAATGCAGATCAAACATAATGCCTAGTAAGTGACATGCGTCACTAAATTGGCTTAGAACCCTGACGGGGGCTTCCTGTGGCTTACTACGTTAAATCGGTGGCCAGCAACTTGCTGCCGTGATTCTGTGATTGGGTACTTAGAAATAAAAGCTCAGGTTTATTTCTTACTAGTGAGTAACAATTTTTTCAGAGAACGTACTTGGTATAATAATATGGACTTCAGGAACATCACTGGGTTGGGGGGTTAATTTTGCTTTATTCTGCTTGCTTCAACATGACTAGGCTTTTCCACTTTAGAATGAGAGAAACCTGTGACTAAGAAATCTGTTCTTAATAGTTTTAATTTGTGTGTAGTTATAAATTGTGACTTAGTGCAGTTGAGTTTTTTTTTTTTTAAAGCACACATTCAAAAATCTGCGAATAAGTGGGTTTCTTTGAGTAATAATGCTATACCGAGGTGCTTGCATCGTATTTCATAGTTTTGTCTTGGTACAAACCAAAATTACTATTTTTAATGAGAACAGCCTAAAGTTCAGAGGTGTGATGCCAGAATGCGTTTTCGTACTGTTAGGCCCTTGAAACAGATACCGGTGCTTTCTGAAAGATGAAAGAAATGCAATGGGTGCTCTATTGATGCAAGGTTGCAAACCTACAAAGAAAGCATAATAGTCTCACTTTTCCCAATAAAGAGATGCGTGTGACTAGTTTTGGACTTTTATAACCTTATGGGGGCTGCATGTCTCTTATTGTTAATCATTGTCAGCTGCAGTGACATGATCCGCAAGTCCTGCATTTACTGCCTTTCCCTAAATGATTATGGACAGGTTTTAGCGAGCCAGGATGTTTGTTCTGGGCCTTTATTTGGTTTTGACTTTAGCTGATAATGTTTCAGTGTTTTGTCAGCTAGTGCAGTTCTCAAATGACTGCCTATTGGGGGGAAAAACAGGATTGACTGTTCTAATCATCTGTCATTGCTGCTAGATAATGATTGGCAATTTTAAGACTCAACTGTGGAAATCTCACAGTTGTTGGTAAATCATCAACCGTAAAAATGTTGCTTTTGAACACCAGTGCTGAAAAGCTTTTTGGTTTTTTGAGGGTGAAGGGGCTGGACACAGAATAGGATAATCTGGAGAATGGGGGAAGAATGCAAAACGATATAGTATCCCTTATGGATGGTACATGTGCAACAGGGAACTCTTATTTCATATATCCTTGGCAGTAACTGATGATCAGGAAGGGAGAAAAACCTGGAACTTGAATTAAGGCTGATCTTTGTTTTTTGTGCACTGTGGCCCTACCAGGCATATAGGGAAGGTGAATGTCTTCTCCCTCAGAAAAACTCAGGTTCTTTGCTATCCTAGTAGGGCATAGCTTCCCTGCCCCAACTTAAAACTCAGTGAAAACTTAAAGGGAAAGAACGAGGCAAATATTTAGGGTTGTAGGAAAACAACTGCAGTGTTGTGTGCTGTGGAATGGGGAGGGCACTCTTGGAGGACTCCTGTTGAAGTTGGTCAGTCTGCCTGAGAATGGAAGACATACTTGAAATGGGGAGCAGGGTATGTGTTATATGAAAAGAGAGCTGATGTTAAAACTCATTCGGTAAGGTAAACGTTGTCACATACCTTCACATAAGGGATAGTATATTTTGGGTTGCAGTCAAACTTCATTGTGCTCAGACTGGTGGAAGGAGCAGTTAGGCTTTTGCATTTAAGAGAAGATAAAGTTTTCATTCTAATTCAGTGTCTACTTTATTCCATGTAAGAATAATCTTAGATTTTCCCCCCTTGAAGTTTTCTTCTATTTTTTTATGCTGTAACTTGCCCCCAATCTTTGTCTCTGGTTTTTGCTCTTTAAGTTTTGAAGTTAACTAGCATTTTCAACCTTTATTTTATACCCTTGTCTTTTATATTAACTTTTTCTTATTATTCTTTAGGTAAGAATGATTGGTGTTGGCTGATACTGGAATGCTCATTCACTTGAGGTAAGTTTACTTAGAAATCTTTTAGAGAGCTTTGGGTTTGATTTGTCTCCTATTTAATGGTTGAATAATTCTGTTCAGCTATGTGAGGTGAAACTTGTTTCAAGATACTAACCTCTTCTGAGATATGATAATTCTATGATTTTGTTTTTAAAAATAGATTTGTGTGTGGGTGGGATAGAAAGTAGGTCATACTTGTAAAAATGTCAAACAGCACAAGAAATCAAGAAAAATGAATGGCTATATAGTAAATAATCCTGTAGAACAGAAAAGAAGGCTTGAACTAATGGGAAAATGCCCCATTTTTAGTTTTCTAATTTCAACTTTAGACCCATCCAAAATCTCCATAAAATTCTTTATTATTAATTAAGTGATATAGGAACAACTATCTAGTCATCGGTAAGAGAAGGGAAAATTCCGTAAGTACATGTGAAGGAAATTTGTAACAGTGTTGGCAGGTCCTGTCATTTGCTAAATGTTATTTTTAAATAAAATTACATTTTTAATCGTAGGTGGATAAGACATTTTTTCCTCACAACATCACACAGCCTGGGCCAATCAAGGAGAGCCACAAGTTGTTACAGACTGACCAAGAGTCCAGGTGAGTTGAATGATTTTTCTTAATTCTGTTAAAACTGCCTTCAAAAGTGCTCTTGGGTGGTAACGACGACAGTACTTGTATGTCAGTATCTCATTTTAATTTCTTATATGTTAAAGCTTGTAGGAAATACTTTGCTTTTGGTTTTATAATACTTAAACATATAATCATTTAATAGTCCTCTGAAGTTTTAGGCCGTGGCTGTTGGTTTGACTCAAGCCTCAGAAAAACAAGGTCTAGCGTTTTCATTAAAAATATGTATATCTTTACCTCTGTAGCACCATGCTGAGGAGGGTTCCAGAAAATTTGAAGTTCCCTGTTCTTTATCCAGATACCTATTATATGGTTAGGTCACCTATACTTGAAAATAAATGGATAACAAAATGAATGACTATCTAGTAGGTCAGCAAACTTTTAAAGGACAATTGCTGTTATAGCTGGAAAACGGTAATTGACAATGGTAAACAAATAGGCTATAACTGCGTTCCAATGACTTACAAACCAGATGGCCCTTGGACAGTAGCTTACTGGTCCCTGATCTGGTATGAATTGTATACGTAGATAGGTATCGCTGGAGTTCAGAGGGTTGTCATAATCAGAGCTTGAAATCTAACAAAAAGGGAGAAGGGAAACTCTTGAGGTAGAAAGTAGGGAAGAAATAAGGATAATGTAATTGAGGGCTATGAGTAGAGGAGGAGGAGTGCCAATTTATGGAGGGGGACCTTTAATGTTAGAGATCTCTCTCCTAAGAGTCTGGCTACAAAAAGTCCTTGTAGAAAGTGGAAACAAAGAGTTTTCCACCAAGGAGGTGGTCAAAGTTGTTAACCCTGATTTTTAAT